GCAGTAGTGTCGTTGTAGCATCGGAAGCAACAGCTGTTGCTGAAGTCGCGGCAGTAGCCTGAGTGTAGTCCACGTCCTCATCCTCGTCATCGTCGTAATCGTGATAGTCGTGGCCGTGATTGCAGCAGTAGCAGCAGCACAACTAGCAGTTCCAATAGCCCCGACAGTAGTAGTAGTAGTAGTAGTAGTAGTAGTAGTAGTAGTAGTAGTAGTAGTAGTAGTAGTAGTAGTAGTAGTAGTAGTAGTAGTAGTAGTAGTAGTAGTAGTACTAGTACTAGTACTAGTACTAGTACTAGTACTAGTACTAGTAATCGTGGTCGTCGTGGTCGTAGTAGGTACTAGAAGGTAACAATAGGTAGTACAGGTGGTGGTGGTGGTGGTGGTGGTGGTGGTGGTGGTGGTGGTGGTGGTGGTGGTGGTGGTGGTGGTGGTGGTGGTGGTGGTGGTGGTGGTGGTGGCGGTGGCCGTGGTCGTCGTAATCGTCGTTGTCTTCGTGGTCGTCGTAGTAATCGTAGCAGTCGTAGTAGTCGTAGAAGTCGTAGTAATCGTAGTAGTCGTAGTAGCCGTAGTAGTCGTAGTAGTCGTAGCAATCGCAGTAGCAGGACGAACAGTTGTAGTACTGGTGTAGATGAAGAGCATCGGACGAAGGGGGAAACGGGAAGGAGCATAATGATAAATCATTCCGCTCATTTCCCACCCCGCACCAGGTGATGGAAGAACGAGACTCGGGAGCAGCTCTGCTCCACCATGGCACCCGTGTAGATGGACAGCATGAACAGGCAGGTACCTAAGCGTGGGGACCCCCGGGGCCTTCTCCGGACAACGGGGGGGAGCAAACACCCAATCACAAGGCTGTTACCTTCAGGTCTCCTAACACCGCTGGCAGGGCCTGCGAATGATTTCGCTAAGCCTTTTCGGGTCAGCTTTAAAGGTTTGGAATGCAAGTTGCAAGGGAGGTCAAGTGTCGTCCGGTGGTGGCGACCACTCAGGTCCTAGATGGATCCATTAAGGCACCATGACGGGGACTAGAAGCGACCAGTAGCACTTCTTTGTTGATGATGATGATGATGATACTGATGATGATGATGATGATACTGATGATGATGATGATGACGATGATGAAGGATGGGTACGGCTCACCTGTCCCTGTCTTATGTCCGCCTGCCACGAATGTTCGTCTAGCCACAGAGGGCGAATGAGAGCGCGACCGCAACGAAATACATGGCCCCGAGCCGTCGTCCTGCCCATGGAAGTGCAGTGAACAACTTCTTCGGAAGCCGTGCACATGCTGAGATTTCTGAATCTCGTAACCTGCTCCAGGCGACTATTGTGTAAAGCTTGGGACAAACATCGTAATACGATAATATTATAATACTATAATACTAGAATACCATAATACTAGAATACTATAATACTATAATACTATGAGACCTAGCAGGCCTGGCCTAGCTCAGCGCCACAGTGCGGCCATTGCACGTCTTCCGCTGCCCATTAGGATATGTAGGATATGTGGTTTAGGGTTTGGCGCTACAATGGGGGACGGGGGGCCAAGACCTGAAGCGATGTGGGGCCTGTGGTTAAGGGCTTCAAGGGTTGAGGGCTGCGTGGTACAGAAAGTTGAAGTTTCTCGGAGGATTCATCTACGAAAGAATATGGTCAGAGTGAGGGAGGTTGCTGCAACTGCATGGGTGAATATGACCCCAATCTTCAGATGAGCTGTCAACTTTGAGCCGGAGCCGAAACCAACAACGCACATCGGAACTCGCCTCAAATCGACGAATCCATACGAAGCCTGACAGGGATCACACAGTGCGGAACATGTTGGAACGCAGGTTGGATTCCTGGATCTCCGCCAGGCGCTCCCTGACATCTCCCTTGCTCTCCAGGCGATCCTGCATTTAAGGCGCAGGACTGTCCTTTTGGCTGGGGAAGTGCACTCCGGATCTTGCTGGCTCGTACGTATCCTCTGCGGTACAAGTGCCACTCAGTGTTGCTATTGTCCCTACCGGCTGCTCATGCATTCCAGCAGTAACATTTTCACTTCCAAACATCAGAGCCCCGCTCCTGAGCCCTTGGCCCTCATCTCAACCCCAGATTCCTAACAACCCTGACAACGCCCCAAATCACCCCCCCAAATAACACCGGCCAAAACTCAAAAAAAGGCCGCGGGCCTGGAGCTGCGCTTCGAGCCTTTGCTCCACTTGCGCCAGGCGGCGTCGGCTGCTCTCGGACTGTCCCTCGGAGAAGACGAGGGCGATTCGCGGGGGTGGGGGGTGCGGGACTTTGGGGTTGAGGGACATGGGCTTTCTGGTCTCGGGTCTTGTGGATTTCAAAGATGCTGGCTCTCGTGGCAGGTCAGCGTCTTCATCAACGAGTGATGGCTCCGGTCGGCTGGGCCGAGGGCCTTCAGCTGCGCAATCGAGCTCCAGAGATCTCGCAGGGCTGGACCTAGCAATTCACAAGAACTCCCGGGAAGAAGCGTGCTCATCACAAGTGCAACTGGGCTCGACTGTGCAGCCCACACTGTGGTATTGCTTTCCGTACCTACACGACCTCTTTTCAAATCAGTTGCGCAGGGCAACACGTCAGCTGTTTCCTCTGTGGGGGATCTCTCAACGAGATCCCAAGCGCTCTGTCGAGATCACGTGGCCGCGAGCCTGTCAAGGCAAGATTGCGGCGGCGGCCGCTTTGCCTCAAGGCCGACACCGTGGTATTATGGTATTCTGGTATGATATAGTATTATAGTAGTATAGTAGTATAGTAGCATGGTATTCTAGTATTATAGTATTATAATACTATCGTAGTATTGCATTATGGTATTATATTATTATGAATTATTATGGTATTATGGAATTATGGTACTATAGTCTTATGGTATTGTAGTATTGGCACCATGGCCCCCAGGCCAATCCGACCAGACACGGCAGCTCCAGTCTTTTGGGACTCGGGACCCCGGCGCATCTCCGCTCCGATGCAGCTGGCTGTTGCCTGCCACTACAACTTGCCTTTGGTTAGTAGGGAATGGAGGAATGGTGGTAATAGTAGTTATATGGTAGTAATATGATCGTAATATGATAGTAATATGGTAGTAATATTAGTGATGAGTGTACCCCATTCCTCCATTCCCTACTAACCAAAGGGGCTTTGGCCCGGCCGCCAGGATCTGCACGGGTGGCCTTCCCTCTCAGCTAGACGAGTAGAAGGACCAAAAGGTGGTGAGAACTCAGAACAGCCGCCATTTCGGCTTTGGGGTGAGTTCGGCTGCAGGAATCCAAATCCAGAGATGCGTTGCACTTCCTTTCAGGTTTAAAGTCTGATCCAACACCTTCAATGCAATAATAGACTATAGTACCATAATTCCATAATACCAGAGTAGTTCATAATAATACAATACCATATGCTGCTTTTCCAGGCTTGGCGGGAGTTCCCTCGCAAAGCTGCCGGGATCGCTGCAGGAAGCAAGCGAGGTCGTGCTCAAGTCGGCATCCGGCGACTCCTGAGGGAGGACTGTCAGGAGATCTGCTAGGTTCTGCTACATAGTAGAAGTCTGCGGTCAAAGAAACTCAGTCTTCTTCTTGCCAAACGAAGCCCGAGTAACACCAGTCTTCTAGGATCCTTTTAACCTGTGAGCCGCTTCCTCCTCGCGCACGAACCTGCTGATGAAAACCTGCAAACTCGGCCTGCAACGCCGTGGACAGCTGCCGAAGCTCCGTTGCCTGCGACTTTGGGGGGCACCCAGCGTTCCGCACAGTTCTAGGCTCCCTTTGAGGTTAAGGCTAAGTAGTCCTGTGAATGAACCATCAAACATGCGACAGCTGCAGTCACGAAGCTGATTTTGCATGCGCCTAGCACTGGCAAAGGACTCTTCCAGAATCTGTACTGCTCTCGGCTGGGACATGGTGAATTTACTCCTGAACATGACATGGAAAATCCCGCCAACATAAGCGTGCCCAAGCACCAGAGAGCGTGCAGGCGGGCTTGCTGGTATGCTGCGGGGCACCTGACACACCAACAAATCCGAAGGCAGCTTCGCTCTTCACACAAACATGACTGTCAACATTAAACGTCACACGAACCTCGTCCTTTGCATGGCCATCACCGTTTGAAACTGCTATACTATACAGATTGAGAACTCAGACACGGACCGCAGCAACCATGTCTTTGGCCAGCCCAACAGAAGCGTTCCTGGCGGCAGTTCCGATCTCATGTCGCATCGTTGCCAAAGAACTTTTCTGGAATTTAGGGGATGTGGCCAAACGGTTCTAAAATGAACCCTAGCTCGATCGCGGTCCTCATGGCAGTGATGTCGCTGCTATGCGACGCATCACCCATGCAAGCCGAATACAGGGATGGCACAGGACTGTGGCTCTTCGCAGCTGTTGCTCTCCACTGTTCCGATGCGACGTGCGCCATGCCTGTGGCTCGACTGCATTGACACTCTGCTCAAAGCTCAGAGCCAGAAGTAGTTGAGAGGCAAAAACGACGAGTGACCGATGCATAGGCGTCCTCTGCGGCGCAAAGGCCCTTGGTTGAAGATGTCGAATTGAGAATCTGTCCGGGCAGCAGTGTAGCGCGGCACAAACCGGGTCAGACCGAAACACCGAGACACATTCACAGCCACACTGCACGTCTGCGAGGCATACGGGCAATGCAATGCGACACGATGACATGAAGGCAGAAACCGACACTGAATGTGGTCAAGCTCGGTGCAACAAACCGCAAGGAAAACATGGAAGCAAGCGTATGCAACAGGGCGGACTATAGCTGGGCGTGCAACCTGAGGGCAAAACTCTTTTTTCGCCGGACCAGTTTGGTCATGACATTTGGGAACCACGGGGAACCAAGCTACTACACCAAGCACTCCGACGACGCTTGGGGTGCTCTGCTTGGACCCTAGCATTCCGACTCGGCCGAGTTCACGCTCCTCAGGAGCAGTGCCCACACAAAAAGTTAAAGCAACAAAATCACCATCCATCCATTTCCATCCTGCTCGGCTTCATTCAAGGTCCACGAAAGCCGAAGTTGCCTCTGATGTTGATCTTCTGCCCCATTGCTGTCGGAGATGACTCCGCGACAAGGATGCGTGCTTCTCCGTCTCCCAATGCCGGATTGTGAAGCTCTTGCACAATGGTCAGTGTACTCCAAGGGTCCGTAATCATGGGAAACTTTGATCGGAAGGTAATCTCAATGTCCTGATTGGATCCATTCTCCATCACGTAGACACCTTGCAGAATGAGACTGCCGAACGGCAAGTGCTGAGCTGAAGTGTCTAAGCCAGAGCTTCCCACAAGGAGACGGAAGCCACCCTCGTGCATGCGGGAATCCAGGCCAAGCTGTTCGACGCCGTTGTCCGGCAAAACCTTCAACAAAGCGCGCTGGTTGCTCAGATGATTGACAACGTAGGGAACAACAGTGTTGCCCCTGCCCAAGTCGATCTGAGCGTGGAGGGGAAGGTCGTTCCAATCATCCGGGTGGACGAGGCCGATGCCGAAGGTGTCCCGCAGGGCTACAAGGAAACTGTGACGAAGCTCTCTTATCTCGCTGTCCAACTTGAACGAAGTCCAGCGGCGAAGGAACTTGATGCCTGCTTCATGAAAACACAGCAGCTACCATCACTGGTAACAGGAGTTGTTAAGGAGACGTCGATGCAGCATAGAGACAGTAGAGATGTGAAGGAAAGCCGCAAGACAAGAAGAGTACCAATCGCCATAACGGTAAAACACCAGAGTACGAGCATTGAAGCAGCAATCTACCGGCAGAAAAGAAGGATCCTGACCTCCACCGAACTCGAGTCCCAATATGTGAAGACACGCTAGAAGATGCGAGAAACACGACAACTGCAAGCTCCAATTCTGGAAGCGCAGGCACGAGACCGTTGCAGGAGTGCCACGTCCACACGGGAGCCACACACACCACACACGCACCCACGCTGCAGGAGCCGTCCCATCGCCGTCTGACGCCCTAACATCCACAAACCACACCGACGCTGACAGTGTGTTTGGAGAATCATGGTCGTCGTCTTCGTAGCAATAATTATATGGTAACATCCGAGAACAAAAGGGATTAGCACGATGACCATTGGGAATATGGTAACCATAGAAGCACGAACAACGACGAGAAGGTAAAGAACGAAGTGGTTCTCTCCGGGCAGCGATGGGTAATATTCTATGGCGGGAGTGCAACGTGAGAAATGCTGGTGAATGAATGTTCTTCCAACAAAAAGACTTCTGCGTGCCTGCTTCATGTGTATAGTGGTGGGCGAACAGGTACGGAAGAATGTCTGCCCCTGATCGGCTCCTGCTCACAGGAAGCACCCCATCAGCGAAGACCACAATGTCGGTCTGGAATTCCCGCTGGAACGTAGGCTGCGGGACTGGCGGCGTGATTCTTCCGGAGCCGGTCGGTGCATCAGGCCACTCGTCATCGAAGAAAAGAGCATTCTGAACTACAAAACTTGTGTTCTCGCCATCGCTGTAGGTGATGCTTGTCCCCCTTGCTCGGCCTCGACCGAGAATGTCATTCTCCACGATGCAGTTGATGTAGGAGACAGCTGCTGACCCAGAGCCACCATCAGGGTTGGGGTAGTTGATAGTAGCGAAGGGGCAATCTGCATAGTAGATCATCTCCACATCCTCGCCATTCGGGTTCAGGCCGTCGATGGTTCCAAGACCACGATGAACGTAGAGGCCGTTGGAAACAATGGCAGTACCCTGCGGAGCAAACTTTCCAGCATTGCCGCCGAAGGTGCCGTTCAGGGTGATGCCGGACGGGCCGGTGACGAACACGTAAAAGAAATCCAGGATTATGGCACCTGAGTATCCACAACAGCAGACATAGCAACAACAGCTGTAACAACGACACTTAGTTTAAAAAACTGTCAGCAGTGTGTCAGCAGTGGAATGGGCCGCTGGGATGGATTCGGAATGCACGTCCGCTGTAGGCCGCTCAAGGGCGAAGTGGGGGAATGAATGCGGCAGTAAAGGTCGAGAAAACGAGGGCAAGACGACCCAGAAGCATGCAGCATTCCGCACCAAGGGCGGTGAGGATTCATGCACATCGCCAGCTGCACAGTTCAGTGCCCCCACCAGTGATTCCATGGTGCGCCCTCCGCAGTGTGAAACTGCGCATAGTTTTCAGGCTGGTGAACAGCAGGCACAACAGTCATAACAGCAAGACTAGCAAGAACACTTAGAGAACCAACAACAGCCACAAAGAAAGAATACCAATAAGAACAAGAATGAAGGACCCGCCGGAGGCTTCGAGCATGTTGTTCCCACGCAGACGGCTGTGGATGTATATTCGAGGTCACCAAAGCTTCCGAAGACAACAAAGCTGTCGGGCTCCACTGGCACGAAGAGAAGCTGACTGACAGGCCAGTTCTGGTAGCCATCGGGGAAGTGGATGCCGTACTTGTTGCCCAGCATGGCGATGCCATCCAGCAGCAAACCTCGGGCCTTCTCGTCGGTGTTGTAGCTGGTGTTGCTCTTCAGAAGTGCCAGCGAAGCAGCTGCATCTGCCGCCACCAAGGCGGTCGGAAGGAAAATCTCCTGCGCAGGGCTAAGGGCTTCGGAGACCTCAACTTCTCGGCCTCAACAGGACTGCTCTATCGTATCTTTGGCATCCCAGTTCAGGGGGTGTTCTTATGAGGACATGTTGGAGATATGCCCAGCAGTCTCAGAAGCAACTTTCGGGCCGTCCATACCGAGCTACGTGGCCCGCGGTTTCTTGCCGGCTTAACGTTTCACAACGTTGACTTAAGCCCTCACAAAGCCTATCTCCGGACGTTTTTCAAATGAAACAAGGCTTCGGGTCCGTCCTACTTTTGCCCAAACAAGCTTAAGCAGACCCTGCTTGAACAACATTTTGCCTGCTAAACCCATTGATGTGTAAGAAGCATTTTCCAGTGAAGAAACCCTGCTCCTGCTTGATCACTAGCTTCGGAGGCTTGAACCAGTTACCGTTGTCGACCGGCTGCCCTGTCTTGAACTCCTTCATGTTAAACTGATCATCGCCCAGACGCGCCACCATGGACTTTCTGCCCGCCGTCAATGCGTCTACGCGCACATCATCAAACGTCACGGCACTTCGGTCACGGTAGTCCGAGCGGTCATTCTGATCAGGGGCGATATCAATGCCAATTGCGAAGCCCTCATCGCTGTCGATGTGGGTGATGGAGACGTCCTTGAGCTCCACCTGTTGGCTTACCTTGACATGTAAGCCCCGGGCATTGGCACCTCCACCCTCATCGGCAACGCTTCGCTCAGGGACGATATCCTCCTTGTTGGCAAGAAGTCTCCAGCGTGCCTGGCATGTCGGCCCATGCTGATCTCCAAGGTTTCGAAGATTTCTCACATCTACGTTCTTCATGGAGACACGGCGAACCTCTTCCAATCTCACACCGATAGCTCCTTGCATCGGGTGGAACATGGTGTCAACGTCGCATGCTAGGGAGTGCCTTGAGGAGTAGCGGTCTTCTGAGACTTGGCGGCTCACGAAGAGGTCGCCAAGTGATGCACCGGATGTGGTGGCCCACTTGTAGAGTTCCTCGCTTAGGTGCAAACCTCCGAAGTACTTCTTCTGAAGCATCACGGTGTCTCGGCCATTGAGGCTTGGATTCTGAGGTACTCCTTGCGTGCAGCGGCCAACATCATATGCCCAGGGCAGCGTGGCGTTGGAGCCAAAGTTGCCGCAGCCAGAAGCGTAGATTTGAGCCTCATAGTACGCGTTGGCAAGCTGCCACATGGCCAAATAAGCATCGTGCACCAAGTCTCCAACATAAGTAGCCTCAGTTAGCAAGTAGTACTAGTAACAACGGTCCTTGAAGTCAAAACCGTTGCTGCAGCATCATGCTACTGACAATGGAACAGTGCCACTATGATGGAAAGCCACCTCATCCAAGGTTCGCAAGCGGTTGCTCACCACTTCCAACACACGAAAAAGATCTCGGACAGGTCCTGCACCGAAGCATAAAATTATTAACCTTACTATGTACATCACTGCTAACCTTTCTGTGCCCTTCGGTTTTGAGAGCATTCCACTGCCTCTGTTTTCCAATATTTCAGGACTCCCATCTCCGCCGGTGTCTTCTCACAGCAAAAACCTCTCGACTCTGCGACAATTTGTTGGTTGGTACCTTCGTCGTTGCGAACACGTCAACTATATTCTACATACTGTGTGTAACCTTGTGCGAATCGAGTACATAGTACAACTTCGGATTGGCAGGGGTCAGTCCCCATTGACGTAATCATCATGCTACCGATGTTGAAACTAGGATGGAAGCCACCTCATCCATTTTTCCGTGGTTGCTCACCACTTCTCTCACTGCTTCTGCTTTTCATGTTTGTCGCTGCACCTATCGCTGCCCGAAATGTATCGTGCACTTCAAAAGCTGCATGTAACTATTGGTTACGCGGCACCCTTGCAGTTGCGAACGGCTTTCGGTCCTTGGGCAAACTTCCCATCAGAGTTCAGGATCGCTGCCACCTCGCTCGGCTTGATGGTCAATTCGTGGACGACGGTGTCCTCTGCGCTTGGGGAGCGAAGGTTGGTCTGTCACCTGATACTGTTCCTGTCAACCATCTTATCGCGTACTCTTGTGGCATTGCGGCCCGAGCAGTAAGAGTGGTCAACACCCTGAGATCCTGATGAATCTGACGATCACAACTCACAACTTCCATGATGAAACGAATACCAACAGTAACGACCGTGTCCTTGATGAAAATCTCAGCAGCCTCCTCGCCTGCGCCGTAATGATTCTCGTCGTCTCCAGGAACCCCGAGATGATTGAAAATCATTCCATACACGACCTGACTGCAGACACCGGGACATACAAGACGATACCGCCTTAAGCATTAATGTAGTACTCTCTTGTTCAAAAATTACTTTCAGATCCAGTGACGCTCCCATCGGGCACAGGTACCCTCGGAGCGAAGATCTTGATGGCATCGTGGAGCAGGCTCGCATCTTCCGGCGAAAGGCTGGCCTCGCCCCATACTCACACAGGGTACCCCTTAGGAGCCCAGGGACAACGCGAGACACAACAATCAATCGAAAAACCTGCGTGAGGGTGCGATGGCCTCCTCCAGGCGGTTCATGTAATGCTCCCGGAACAAGCGCACTGCACGGCCCAGACGCGTGAAGACAGCCTCGAGGGTCTCAGGGCTTCGCTTCCTGCTGCTTCGAGCCTAACTCCATGCTCGCTTGTCACCGCTTTCTGACACAAAGGCGAGCAGTAACTCAATAGTCTTATCATGGATCTCAAGAAGGATCCTAAGAGCTGTCTTCTATTTCCAAGCTGGTTTTCGGGTTTGGGTACCACTGCTCAGCTTTGGTTGGTGGGGAATGGAAGGATGGCAGTAATAGTGGTTATCCCATTCCTCCATTCCCTACTAACCCAAGGTAAGACTGAGAGCCTCCAGGGTCTGAGGGCCACGATCCGCGAAGCTGATCGTGGCGTTCAGCAGGCCGAGGACCCCCTCCTGCTCGAAGCCCAGGGGAATGAGCCTGGAGGCCGTTGCAGCAGACCGTGCTTACGGACTTCTCTCATGTTTTAGTAGATAGGTAGCTAGATAGATAGACAGATGCAAAAGCAATCCAGTACTGTATACATATATATATATATATATATACGTATAAGTACTGCTTTCTGCAATCATGCACTCATCGACATGATTGTCCTATTCAACCAATATTCACGTACAGATGAGGCGTTGTGGAGTTGAGCCTGGAGGTATAGAGCTCGAGGAAGCGGGCATTGGAGAAGGTGGCACGCGCGGGCACTTGAGAGGAAGTCGGGCCGACCTCACAGCCTTTTACTGTGCAACGACGACAACCGTTCAGATGGACTCCTGAGACTTCCCAGTCACGGACCTGGCTCATGGTTGGGATAGGATTAAAAATGCACATTTTTGTTCCATATTGGGTTTAAATACCCATAAAAATGTAAAATGTTACCCAACTATGACAAAGGGACTTTCACGTTCTCGATGTACACCTGGCTAGCATTGTTACCGTGCACGCCAGAGTGCGAGCTCAAGCCCAGGGTCCCATCATGAATGTAGACTTTGCGTGCGCCCCGCATCGCAGGGACACGTCCACTTTGGAATTGCTCCTTGTCCCCCTCCTGGAAGTTGAGCGATGACACACCCTCGTTGTCCACAAAGACACGATTGGCAAGCTCGATAGCATTCCAAAATCGCTGAAGGAGATAGAACTCCTTGTTCTGTGCAAGGGTGTGCCCATTGAGATCTATCTCAACGTTGTCAGCCTCAACCGTGATTCCAGCAAAGAAGCCGAGATAGAACTGACTTGCTGGATAGTTGGGGTCCTGATGGTCTGATCGGGCAAGCAGTTTTAACAGACAATAAAAACAACAGAAGAATCAAAGAAATAAATCTCCAGCGGTGATAACCGCAAGTAGGGCAGGAAGAGCTAAAGTAGTCATGCACCAATCCCGGCTTGGAAGCGTGTACGCGTCTTGCGTTCGGTGCGGGAAACAATAAAGCAATGCTTCGAACATCATCCTCTACCCGGCATCCTCCAGCTAGCACGTTCCGCTCCCCGGGTGTCCTGGGGTTCTGGCCAGTAATCGTTGTCCGGTCGAGGGCCAAAGTAGATGTCCTCCATCAGGATGTACCTTCTGGATTCAAAAGCTCCAAACCTTTGCAAACCCTAAACCGATGATCCAAAGCCTTACAGGACCAAGGCACTGAACTGAATGAACCCTGGCCTGCTTTATTTAACCCCTGAACTCGGCCTTCCGGAGTCTCTGATGCGATAGGTGCCGTTCTCGAAATCGCATTGGCTCAGGCGCGTGACCCGACGTGGAGGCCCTCCTCGTCGTGAGTCGGAGATATGCCTCGTGCTCAAAGCAGAGTTCTCATCGCAAGTGCTCGTATCGTTCGAGCTGCTGGTGGCGACAATCACCTGCGTGAGAAACGACCAAAGGGCAAAACTTAAAAGTCGCCGAACGTGGTTGTGACGAGCATGGCACACGTGGACCATGGCTGGATGCTTAAACAATGGCAACGCAAAGACTGGGCTCGGGGGGTGACGCGTCCCTCTTCGCTGCCTTGAGCATTCAGAAAGCGATTGTTCACGAAGTTCCTGGCGTACCCGCAGTGATGCCAACCCCTGCATGATGTGGCAGGCAACTTTCTTCAATGCTTGCAGTGGCCACTCGCCGCGACTCCTCTTCCGGCGCATAGGCGCCAACGGTGACACAGCCGGGAACTTCACTCCGCGACTCCGTTCAGCCGGGGATTCCAGACGGAGCCCAGAAATTCACCGGAGAGCCACGTTGTTTCTGGAACACTGATCTGAACTTGACCTGCTAAAGGCGAAGGGCTCTCCCTGACATCTCCTGTGTTCTGCAAGTGAAGAACGTGCGTGACGTGGACTGTCTTCGTGCTTGGGTAGACCTCACTCCAGTTGCAGTAATTGATCTGCTGCGGTGCTCCGATGGTCCCAAACAGGGCCCTCTCCCCCCCACCCCCCGTTTTCACCTCAAACTGCAGTCTGGACTCAAAAACGTAGCTGTGACGTCGCTCTCGTGACATTGCGTTGCATTTACACTCCAACAAGACACCTATGCCCTGCCCTTGCTGGCTCGCACTGTTGGTCGCATTCCCGCCGTACAAGCGCATTGCTACTGTCACCACCGACTGTTCATGGAATGTTTATGCATACCAACAGCAATGTACTCGCTGCCAAACATCAGAGCCCCACTCCTGCTCCAGACTCCAACGCAAAGGCCCTCTAGCTCGACATTCTGAAGCCTCTAACTCGTGGGATCCACTGAACCCGACCACTGTGAATAAAGAAAGAGCAAGTGCAGCAAGCCCTAAGCCCCCCAAGCTCGAAACCCCAGAGTCCTCAAGTTCCTGACTCCTGGCCCTAAGCCTCGTGTCCAGACCGCCCGCTCTTCTCCGGTGGGGTCTTGTGAGGCTGGCGAGAAAGTGGAGCAAAGGCTCTGCTCGCACGGATTTTGCTTTTGGGTTGGGAGCGCTTTGGAGTGTTGGATCGGAGGGTCGTTGCAAGAGAGAATTGGAGTGTTAAAAATTTGGGGTTGGGTTGAGGGCCGGGAGCTCAGAAGTTTCCGGGCCTGGACAGGCAGGGGCCTTTGCTCTGAACAGCTGTAGGGGTCAGTTCTCCCTCGGAAGCGAAAGAGTTCTGCGTGATCTTTTGGATGTTTGGTTCAGAGCTTTCGGGGTCAGAGCAAACGGAGCGAACGGAGCGAATGGAGCGAACGAGCGAGCGGAGCGAGTGAAGTGAGCGAAGTGAGCGGAGTGAGCGAGTGAGGGTAGCGAGGAAAATTTTCGGGCTGAAGGGCCGATGATCCTTGCGTCTCAAGGCTCTGAACCTGTCGATCTTTCGTTTTTGGACTGAGGCCGTACGCTCAACACCCTTTCGAAATCGAATCAGCTCCCCGGTAGATGATCTACAATCGAGCGGAGGGACACCCGCATAAGAGAGAGGCGGCATCGATTCGCGAGTTTGGAACGGTATCCACGCGGTCGTTGCGACGACGTCGCCGCGTCGTCGTCGCCGCTCGTCTCATGCCGGCTTGAGGGCAACATTGGGGGTAACGTGGCCCTAGGGCAACATTCGGGGAACATTTGGGGTAACGCGGCTCTGGGGTAACTTTTGGGTAACGTTGGGGGTAACGCGGCTCTGGGGTAACATTTGGGTAACATTGGGGGTAACGCGGCTCCGCGGCTCTGGGGTAACATTTGGGTAACATTGGGCTAACGCGGCTCTGGGGTAACATTTGGGGAAATGCGGCTCTGGGGTAACATTTGGGGTAACACGGCTCTGGGGTAACATTTGGGGCAACGCGGCCCTGGGGTAACATTGGTGGTAACGCGGCCCTGGGGCAACATTCGGGGTAACGCGGCTCTGGGGTAACATTGGGGGTAACGCGGCCCTGGGGCAACATTCGGGGAACATTTGGGGTAACGCGGCTCTGGGGTACTTTTGGGTAACATTGGGGGTAACGCGGCTCTGGGGTAACATTTGGGTAACATTGGGGGTAACGCGGCTCTGGGTAACATTTGGGGGTAACGCGGCTCTGGGGTAATATTGGGTAGCGCGGCTCTGCATGGGGCAACATTCGGGGAAACAATGCGCTCGATCTGTCCCAGTTCCAGAACGAGGCGGATGTGCTGGCCCTGATCAGCACCGCGCTAGTGCCCTACTGGGACCAGAGCGAGGTCTCCAGCTTCGTAGCCGGAGAGCTGTCGAACTACCAGACCAGCAGCCAAGTGAGCTCGGCCATCTCCTCGGCTCTGTCGAGCTACGACAACAGCAGCCAGGTCGATTCGCAAATCATCACGGCCCTGCTGGACTTCTACACCCGAGCGGAGACGGACCAAGAGATCGCCAACGCCCTGACAGGCATCGACCTGTCGGGCTACTACACCTCGGCCCAGACGGATCAGGAAATCGCGGATGCCATAGCCGGGCTGGTGGGCGTCCACGTGCGCTGGACGGAGCTGCAGGCCCCGATCATCAACGAGATCAACATCGCCCTGCTTCAGTACGACACTTCGGCCGAGGTGGACACCAAAATCGCTGGCGCGGGCTTTCTGGACCAGACCGCTGGGAACGCCCGCTACCTGGTGCGCCCGCCCGCAGCGGCCAGCGGGTCCATTCATCAAATCGTGCAGAACCAGTTCTTCCCTCCGATCATAAAGAACCTGCTGCTGCAATCGCCTCTCGCCGGAGCCAGTATCCTCGGCAACGGCAGCACCCTCAAATCACCTGCGACTGCTACTGGAAGAGCGAGTCCGACCACCTTTGATCCGGGGCCGCTCAACGCCCGCTACTTTTTCGTGGCCCCCGGCGCCGAAGGAGGGGGGAATCTGTAACTTGGTCCAAACCCAGTTCACACCCCGGAACCTGCTGTGCCAGTCGGACACAAGGTACCCCCTGGTCGCCACCTTCAACAGAGCCTGGGCTCCACCGCCTCACGACCCTGGAGAACAGCGGAGGCATCGCCCCCACTGCCTATTTGATTCCAAGAACTCCCTGACAGCCGCAGCCACGAGCTTCGTGGACATGTCTGAGCTCCGGAGCTCGGCGGGCAGGTCCAGAACGCTTTGGTGACGATCCGCAAGGAGGACGGCGCGCTGCTGGCCTCTTTCGCGGGCGGCGGGATACAAATGGACCGGGACGTCACCGTGGCGGCGGCCAGCACCCTCAACCCCACCACCGCCGACTTCGCCCGGTTCTTCGTGGGTTCACGGCCGCGACCGGGGCCTTCAACAGCTCGAGCAGCATCACCGCGAATCAGGAGATCGTCAGCAACCTGCGGGTCGAGACGCCGCTGCTGCGCAGCGACCCGGCGGCGCCCTGGCTGACGCTCGAGGGCGGTGTGGGAGGCGTCCTGATCAATGACACTCATCGGGGGTGCAGATGAACACGTCCTACACCGAGGTCACGGGCCTCGGGAGGTGGGGCGGCTTCTGCGAGCTCGCCGTCATCAACCAGTCCGCCACGGGCGTGGCGCGGCTCTACCTGACCGCCCAGAACGACGCTCGCCGAAAGCAAGGGCGAGCCGGTGGCGCTGGCCAACGGCGAGGTGCAGCTCAACGCGTGGACCGTTCATCAGCCTCAACACGACCAGCGGCCTGGCCGACCTGGCCATCGAGCCCAACACCGGGGGCAACAACAACGGGGAAGTGATCGTCAACTATACGGCTTCGTGAACCTCTCGGACCGCAGCCTCAAGAAGAACATCCGGCCCGTCCCAGCCAAGGACCTGCAAGCGCCCTCGAGCCCCTGTAATATTAGGTCGAAGGACCCACCCAGCAGATCGGCTTCATCGCACAGGACGTCCAGGCCACCGGGGACTTGGGCGAGGCGTTGTGCAAAACCAAGAACCTGGACGGTCGGGACCTCATGGCCCTGGACTATCAACGACTGAGTGTCGTGCGCTGGGGCGTCGTGTTAAGCTGCAGAAGCGGGTTGAGCGGCTTGAGCGGAAGCGGGGTCGCGGGGACTCGGATTGAGCCAAAAGAGCTATTGTTCCAGCGTTCGCCTCAGCTCCGAGGCTGGAATATTTTGGGGGCGTTTTGGGTCCAGAAACGGGCCCGCGAGGGGCGGTATGCCAGACATACCAACCATAAAAATTGCGGAAGACGGTGCGATGGAGCTGCTCGGGCGGCTGGCCCGGGACTTCAACGTGCGGGACCCCAGGAAGCTCTACCAGATCGCCTGCCGGGAGTTCCCGAACATCAGGGACCTCATGAGTGCGCGGGCCCAGGCGAGCGGACCTGGTGGACTTTAGCCAGAACACCCGGGAAGCCAACAAGTACGGCTTGGTGGTGACGGGCGTGTTCACGAGAGAGGTGGCCACGAAGGCCCTGCCCGACAAGCGGGCCGAAACCGTTACCCGGGCGGCGGCGGAGATCATCCCCGACCTGGTGCAGGACGAAACCAACATCGTGGTCACAACAGACATGGGGAACGAGTTCCGGGGGCTCGAGGCGGCGCTGCCCGGAGGCGCGGTGCACCGCCAGAAGGATCCCTCAGATCGCAACGCCACGGCGGTGGTGGACCGAGCCATCCAAACCTTGAAGAAGGATTTGGCGGGCAAGGTGGTCGACGGTGGCGGGTGGGGGGACCACGTGGACGAAGCGGCGGAGGCCTTCAATGCCCGCCCGTATGCGGCGGTGACGGTGGCCCCCGGAGGATGTCGAGACGATGCCGGGCACAACGATGAGCTGACGAGGAGCCGTCAGCGGCGGCTGGAGGAGGCGGGGGCGTTCCGGGCCCCCACCAATGTTCAGAGGAGCTTCCAGCCCCAACACGGGGCGGTGCGGGAAGTGGAGTCCTACGACTCGATGGCCGTGCGGGATAGGGACGGTTCGGAAACTTTGCTGAAGCATGCGCTGCTGGTGCCCCGGATCCGCGGAGCCTAAAGCGCGCCTGACTCGGCGGCCGGTGCTGCTGGGGGTGCGGCAGCTGCGAGATTTCAATCTCGGGCCCACGGCGCCGCCGTG